ACATGCTAGGCCTTTAAAGGATAAAATATGCATACAATGTTCTTCTGTTAAATGTTCAAAGAATCACTGAAGAATATTGTTCACACAAAAAGTCATGGTTGAAAGGTTAACACTCCTGCCTCATATTTGGGAGGTCCTGGATTCAAATCTCAGCCTGGAGACTGGCTATCGTGACTAGGGTTTTTCACGGAACTGAAGTTTCCTTGTTTCTTTGTGGTTTACTTAACAATAATGTCAGCAGCTAAGGCTGCACCGAGTTTAACAATAACAAATTAACAATAAATCTGAAAGGATACATAATGAAGTGGTAATTGCCTCATTTAAGGTACTATCCTGGCATTTGTCAAGAGAGACCGAGTAAAACCATGAAAAACTCAGTCAATACAGTCTCAAGGCCAATATTTGATCATAGGACCTCCCAAATATGAAGGACTATAATGACTCAGTCACAATGTTCAGTTACAGTATGAAATCTGCCAGTTGCTTAGAGATTAGTTTTCCATTGCATGTAATTCATATTTATGTCAACACAACCATGCAAAAATACAAAGTATTTAATTTTCAAAACCTTTTGCTAATCAAGTGCCCAGGTCTCTTCTGTAACGTTGTTCACTTCCTTATATAATAGCCCAGAAATTCTTGTACGTCCTGCAGCGGCAGACACGCCAGTGAGAAATCTGAAGACTCAAGACAGCAAAAGTAAGAAGCTGAACAAATATCAATGTTATGAAAAAGAAATCAGCATTCACCATCTGACACTCTGTATGATGACACACACTGGTATTTCAATACTCACATAATAGTTACCAAAGCAGCGCTAGGAAAACAATGCAACCTGCATATTTTCTGAACACAATGAATTACACATCAGGTATCAAATACAGCAACAATCAAATTCTCAACCTCATTAAAGGCAAAGAATATCAATGTAAAAGATAAGACCTTAAGTTCATTACATCATTCAAGTTTATAATAATGCTGTTTGACATTCCTCATCAAACTTACTTTCTTCTCGGAATACCAAGTTCATAAATCCTTTGACCAGCCAACCAGGTAAAAGTAATTATTAACTTTATACAAAAACAAAATTATAATTCACTTTTCATAGCAACAGTAGTATGTTCAACACTTCAATGAATTTCAAACAAATCATTTTAAATAATAAATGCTGCTCTGTCAAAAGTTTGTTTTAGGTCAACTGAAGAAAAGAGTAAGAAGTTCAGCACATTTGATTCACTAATCAACATTAATAAACTGTCAGCCATTATAGCACCTTATAGCTAGAGCACATTCTTACTTAAGCCACTTGTTTGAAAGAAAAAAAATATCCACATTACTCTCCTAGTTTCTACATTACATAGATGGAAGTTCATAACTTTATCAGAATTTAATAGTAAGTTGACTGGAAGCACAAAGATGTACTCCAATTTGAAAGTGCACATATTTTAAACAAGTTCTGTTTGTGGTTGAAGAAAGTCATCTGGTATGTTGCACCTTGAAGACTTGTAGACATGCTTACTGCCTCCGTCGCCAGGCACCTGGATTATAGGGGCAGTAAGCACCTGAGCAACCAAGGCTGAGATTTGAACTCATAACTTCCTGAATAAGAAGCAGGAGTGTCAACCTAACCTCTTTTTTAGCCTTTTACCTCCTCATCCCCTCCCTAAAGGAAGAAATTATTTTGCTTAGCATCAAATTCTACAAAACATATTTCTGAGACACAATCAATTTAAAAAGCGATTTTCCACAAACAATGTCTAGATTTTGTACTTTACACTTTAACATATTACATATTTAGAACAAGAATGCAGGAATTATAGTCGTGATAACACATTCATTATTATTTAAGACACAAGGTTTTCACAATAAAGATGCCAATTCCGCTCTTGTGGGTTATGAAGCCAAGTAGTCTTGTTGGTGGTTACCAAAGTTTCAGAAGACCACAATCAGCATGTTCAGTATCAGATGAACTACAATCAAATGTGATTACAACGTACGTAATGTAACGTTTAAAACTTATTCACTTCATAACAATGTATGTGGAAGCTTCAAATTAACAGCCTATTATGTTTTTCAGCGGAATTGGCAGCTTAGTCGCGTTCTGCTCTTTATGAGTGACCAATCAGCGCAAAGGTCTGTTGGAAGGCAGGGAGACCTGTCTGCTCAGAAACCCCGTGGTATACGCATCGGCAGCCGCACTGCGTTGCTGCCAATTCTTACATTCTTTGAGTAGTATTGTGGAATCCAATGTTCCGCGATGCTACATCTGGAAACACTATGTTGTTTCCTTACTATCTCGCCCCTCCACCTACCACTACTACTTCCTACCATGGCACAGTACATGTGATTGGTGCACGCTCCGGCCGCCAATTCAGCTGAAAACAGTTATAATCTAGGACCACAATTTTTAAGCACCACGTTAGATGTGTTCTAATAACACCTATGACATCTGCATGTAGCATTTAAGCAAACAAGACTAGAAAGGTGTAAAATCTTAATAAAATGGTCTCAAAATGTCCATGAGCCAGCATAAGAAACAGGAGGTATTGAAGTCATGAGGTAGGAAGGAGCCGTGTACAAAATACATGCACCTATATGAAGATTACATATAGCAACTAGATGTCAAATGATTTTAAGGTCATGTAAATGTCTGCAACTTGAACTCCTGAATGGGTTAAGAGACAAAGATGTTTTGGATAAATAATATGTGGCAATCCATTTTCAACTGTGAGGACTGTGTCCCTGTTGAACACAGATGAGAAAGGAATTATGGGAAATGGGTTCTGGGTAACTGAGTCTACTCTTAAAGAAAAAGTAAAGTTGAAGATTTCTGTCTTCTGGGTTGTTGCGCTATGTAGTAAGGTAGCTGTTTACCAACGTTTCAGAGGTCATACTGCCTCTGAAATGTTGGTTAACATCAATCAGACTACACAGCGAAACAACCCAGAAGACAGAAATCTTCATACTCACGGCTGTGAAAACCTCAAATCTTACAAATAAAGTAAAGTTGTTCCGCTACATGCCATGGGGGAAGTTAAACATTCATTAAAATCCTAAGTTGCCTGTTCTTGCACAAAACATAAAAAATCAAACCGACGGTAACTGTGAATGATCTAAACCTGAGTACTTCAACCCATCCAGAAACACCTGTTAATTTCACACAAAGAGACAGAGACAGTACCAAGACTTCACGCTTCAATAACTGTTCTGAATTAACCACTGAGTAAAGAACTGATTTGCCTACAGTGTACAGTCATAGTAACCAAATTATGCTTTATTAATTCACAATAATAGAAAGCTTCACTAAAAAAAGAGAAATAAAATGAAAGAGTACAAACTGACTGATTAATATTAAGCTAATAAAACCTTTGGACAACAAAAATATTATTTTAAGCCTGTATTAATGCAAATTTCCTTCTGCTAGAACTATTTCCATTTTATACAGTTCAAACGTAAAAGCAAATAATGTAGACAAATACAGATAAACAGCAAAAGATGTATACACGATAATTACTAAAAGCAAGCACATCTTGATCAGGTCATATCTTTGGAAACTGACTAGGTAATTATAATAATAAATGTAAGTATATTCTGTAATAAGAATTCAGTGACACAAAATGTTTACAGAGATCTATACTGTAATATGTCAATGTACTAACACAGACTAGAAGTGGAAGCCATTGCAACTTTGATTCATTTGTACTAATGCAAGGAAATTTGTACTTTGAAAGCTCTTCAATATAGGTGTCATGGTGGACTATTATGATATATTTTCTGACGTTTCCCATTCCAACCAAACTGCCAGATATTTGTACATATTAACTCACAAAACGCAGAGCAATTCTTACTGTAAAACATAAAAGGAAGAGAAAAGCTACAAATCTTCATGTACAAACATCCAAAAATTTGTTACACATTCAAAACAGGATCCATGTTCAATTCTGACAGCCAAACTGTGTGTGAGAATACATGTCATGAATTACTTCCTCAGAACACTGAATGACACTAAAACAATCTTTCAGATTGCTTGCAGCTTGAGTTATATGTGAAAATACAATTGTCAGAATCTGAATTCACCATGACATCAGTATTATTTTACACTGGACATTGAAACTGTTGTACTATTATTACGTAGCACTTACATATGTAGTTTTGACAGAGCAGCATAGAATATAAAATAAAAATTAAGAAGTGAATACCATTACTGGTAACATACTGTCTCAATAAATGCAATAATCCAAAGCTAATGCTCCAAAACATAATGATATTAAAACAATTAGTTTAAATGCAAGACTTCATTTCAGTTGTACGTTAAGTATATACAAAGGAAGAACGCATTGGGCTTATATGCTACTGCATAACTGCAGGATTATATCTTAACAGAGATTTACATGGCATAATAAAGGTTGATGCATAACGGAGATGCTTTTGAAATGTTGGTAGATGTCTACCACACTACACAGTGCAACACCCTATGTTAATACTTGCTGCCATGGGAATAAGAATTATGTAATTTTATCTGCATAGACCGAACCTTGAAATTTACAAATGCATGCATAGGTCTTGAAAGATATGATCATATTTCTGAAATGGTGTGTAGTCACCTCCCAACTTAATTGTACCTGCACCTTATCGTGGTGGTGGGGCTTGAGTACCTCAGTGACCCCAAGAGCTATGCTGGCAGTAGCATAGCTACTGGTAGGGGCTCCCTAGCCAGATTGGTCGAGAGGGAGAGGTCAGACTACGACAGGTACCCTGGTTCTCCAGGTTGGGGGTTGGTCGCAAGGCTAACGACCTTGCACCGTAAAAAGGAAGATGTTTCGAAACCTCGATCAAAGCCTCATACAGACGGACCTAACAGAAGTCCGAATGGAAGAGGAGAATTGAGGAGGCCATGGACCGAATACGGACCAGAGAGCCATAGAAGAAGATGATATCTCTATAATATGCATCCCAATTATTTATTTCACCATGGAGCACTCCTTGAGTTACCCGAGTGGAAAAGGGCAAAAATTATTGGGTTCAAATAATAACCGATCATTAGACACCTGCGTACCTGATGTGTATATTCATTTTGGAAAGAAGGCTGCTGTCTTCTGGGAAGTTTACTGCCCTGATGATCAAGGCAGTAAGATCATCTGAAACTTTGGTCATTATTTAACAACTACACACTGCAACATCCCAGAAGATAGCTACCTTCATACTCGTCACTGTGAGAACCTTAAATCTCACCATATAATGGAAATATTCATAATTTGAAAAGTGACTGTATTTAAAAAGTGGAAATATGAAGGCCTACTGAAGCATTAGCTTTGGGCTGAAAATATGAACCTACATGATGATCACAGCAACAGCAATATGACATTCATCAGCTCAAAACAGGTACAATGCCGTCTTCAAAATTTCACTGTTGCTTTTGACACGTATGTTTCAATGTTACACTAAATCTTACTTTACTAGACCAAAATGTAATTACAATATGCCTACACTACTAGCTGTTAAGTGCAATGTTATGGCACATATAAATTGATCTGAGTATTAAGTACATTCCACAAATTTCTTTCAAAACACACCATTAAAATACAGACATTAAAGTATAAATGTCATATCAGCAAGACACATTTTGAACCAAGCACACTGTCTTGGGAAAATCAATCTCAAATTGTCTTTGTTCCGATACAAATTATTATTTTCCTAAGGAACTACAACGGTAATATAGAGAGCATTTCCGTTACTATTTACACTTAGGAACATTATGTTCAAAGCTTGTACTCCTGTTAAACAATACTATTTAAAGCAATCAAATAGTTTCAGAACTATGCACAGATGAGGAATAAAATACTTTACTAAACATAACAATCATGTCATGAAATGACAAGAAGTGATGTAAAGAAGTCAAGTGATGAACCACAAATTACACCCGTACTTATAGAACAAAGCTTTAAAAATCCTGTTAAACTTTACAGACCCTCAAACTGAGCCTTGCTTTCAAAATACACAATAGTATAAGCCCATGACAAAACAAAATATAATGCAATATATATACAAATTAAAGTAACTAAATTTATGTAGAATACTGTCTCAATTTCAAACCTGTCAAACCGACTAGGATTACAAGAATCTTCATTTCAAAACGTAAAATGTAAAATTTTGCGGAGGAGAGGCAATATCCATCTCATGACATAACCCAAAGACTTAACACATGAACTGAACTTAAAAGTTCAAACCTCTCAAAATATTTCACTAAGATATTATCTCCCATCTCCTGTCTGATATTCCAAGCGGCTGTGTTTCTAGAGACTTCGCACAAAATTCCATATCTTTATTTTCCCAATATGAGGTATATTTCTGGTTTACCCCTTCTTTATTTCACTACCCTAACCACAGTACGCAAGCTTCCTGCGTACGTTTTCATTCTTCTCACGGATTCAAACAAAATGTAACTATTATTTGAATAATTCACAATATCCTAGTTTTCTGAGTCAGATATGAGATAATCATGTGTTGCAACTTATCCTAATACAATAAATATGGCACACAAACAAGAAATGATCCTACATGGGAAATGTAGCAAACCTAGGATTTACAGCAACGTAATAAGTGAGGCAGAAAAGACAATACTGTATTCATATCAAACCAGAATGATATGTTGTACTTCAATGGGGAACACATTTCAAAGATGAATTGTCTGTTAACGTTCTTAAATCACTCCTCTTGGTGTTAATATACTGCAAACATAAATCTATTATTGCAAAGCTAATGACACTACCAATATATCACCGAAGCCAGGAATCGTTTTTCTTGTATTTTATTAAACAATCACCATAATGAAAAATATCTCAAATAAAAGTTGTAAACTTCATATGATGTATATGGTCACTCAGTAACTTTTTACACGATTTGTCAACGAGAAAATTTATAAAGTCTGATTTGAGAATTATGGAAGTTGGGAGTTATACTGGACCAAAATTAAATTTGCCTGTAAATGTTTAGTGTCAAATTCCCAATTCCAAATTTAAATGAAAACCATTCAACAGTTTCTGAGATAAAACAACATTTAACTCTCTTCAAGAAAATAATGCATAAAAATATAATACCAAATAGAACACTGGAATCATGGTAAATCCAAATAATTATGTATAACACAATCCAAACAATGACCACGGTCTTGAAAGAATAATGGTATATCAGCCAACGAGACAGGACCACTAGGCTACAAGACCTTCGACTTCATTTTCATTGACCCAAGCCCGACAACATGTGCATGGCAGTGTGTTGGACTCGGAAACGCTACATACTGGCCCACTTACACCTTTAACAAGTCTGCACAAAAACTGATGTCTGATTCCTTTGTCCCACACTTTCACAACCAAAGGAAAATTCCACTGAAATGAAAAGGCCACAAAACTTTGTATTTATAAAAAAATTGTAGTAAGTTGTAAAATCAACAAAAAAAAGTAAATAGTACTACAGTGCTGCCACAATCTGATAATTTGTTGATTCAGCACTCAGTGCCATCAGCCTAAGAAGAGTACTACCTGAGTAACTTGTTTTCCAGGTACATTGGCAGCTGCATTTTTTTTTGCAGGTGCTGACAATTCCACCGCCAGACATACCGGTATGTACTTTAACTGACGTGTAAACTTGCAATAAGATATTCTGAAATTTGAAGTTCAAACAAAAATCTGACTTTCTTCTACCAGAACAAGCGCTTACTCTGTCACATGCAGATTGGGCCAAAGGACGCTCGAACAGCGATATTATCATAGTACCGAAGACTGAATGAACTGATTCACACTATATGAGAATTATTAATATTGTGCAACTAATAGCCACCCACTGTCTTGCTTGAATCCTAAAACAGATATAGCTGACATTCCCAAGACATCTTACCCCCGCAACCTTTTAAAATACATGTAAATATCAGAATGGTGTGATCAGCAGAGAGTAATACACCAGGGATGGATGTAGTTCCGTGCAACCACTTTATTTAAATATATTCAGATCCAGATGGAAAATTATCAGATTACCCAATGACTTCACCATTTGCCCAAGAACAAATTATACCATCCATAATTTTGAACACATCACAAAATATAAATATCTTGGCAAATTATCTCTTACATGTTGAATAACCTGTTCCTAATACCGCACACTAACCACCACACATTGATAGAGATAAACTGTAACAAATCCCGAAGAAGTTCATTCTAAACGATACTGACAAATCCAACCACCCACCCCATGTAAAGATAGGAGTCATCCACAGTTTGGTGAGCACGGCAAGCGTCATTTGCCAAGACCACAGAGCACTTATCAAAACTGAAAACATTAGACATGTATTGGCGCTCAGCAGTTACCCCTCATACTTCGCTGATCCCATAATTAACAGACCCACAGTAAAAAGTCAGCCATATACAGATTCTATTATGCTTGGCATGGTGGAAAAGTTAAGATGTAAAGGCAGTGCCTGAAAAGTTCAGATGTACTGGGAATAAATATAAAATCAGGGTCATATTCAAAACCAGACACCAGACCTGAAAGAGATCTAATAGATACGAGATGCTGTGTTTAGTTACAGTCAACTGTGTAAGCATGGCAGAAGTTACATTGAAGAAATAGGCAAACCGCCAAGAATACACATTACAGAATACCAACATATCTCAAGCAGGGGTTGGTAGAAAATCCAAGCCTATGAAGAAGGACATTAGATTAATTCTGAAAACTCAATCCAATTTCATTCAAAGAATCAGCCCATATGGCATGTGAAACCGAACCAATAAGTCAACCTAGTCTGGAAATGTCACCTATATGGTTCCCCCTCATCAATACGGAGATCAACAAATCACGCGGCAGTTAGGCCAAACTTGGTGCTTCACTTTTAGAGTGATTTTGGAATATTCTATCACCAGCCATCAATCCAAATTCAACTAAGAGATGATGGGTGGCCTGGATATTTAGCCATAACTGTGGCTGAAACTTTTTCAGCTCAGGAGTTTGTGGTTTGAATTTCAATTATGACTAAAAAGTGCAGTTTTGTTTCATGCTCTGTGTGTTCGGAATTTTTATTCAGGATTTAAGTATTCACGTATCTCACACATGAAATGTGACAAAAGGTATATATATATACATGGCCTGGAATTCAGTAGGTGTCCAGTGATGAACTAGCTCCTTCTAAGGAATCCCTTGTCCCTCATATTTTACCTGATGACGGACAGACCCAATTCCCAAAACATAGTGTTATGAGAACAAAAGATGATAATGTCCAGAATTTTAGCCCAAACCATTGAAATCCTGGTCGTGATATGACAAACAGATGATAGATAATGTCCAGAATTTTAATCAAAACCACTAAAATCCTGAATACCATGTGACAATGGAAATTTGTATCCAAGATAATTTAACCCCCACCCCAAAAAGTTGCATCACAAGCCCTTACTTTATATTTATATTAAACTACAGCTTGATATCCAAACTAAGTCTTCATTTAAACTATACATAAATAGTTTCTTTTCAAAATCTTAATAAACTGCTGTCATTACATACCTAAGGAAGGCAAATAAACATTAAATTCAATAACAGTAGCTTCTAAAGCTGTTTTGTGTTTCAACGCTCAATTTCAAACCATTCCAAACTACGGACAAAACATTTTTGTCAACCGTATGGTGGAGCTATCAAGAAATAAATTTGTCGCAAGTTCAAAACAGATAATACTCTGTGGAAAAAGAGTTCTCAATGTGTTCACATCAGTCAAGAAATGTGAGGTAGAAAACCAGAACTGGGTACAAAGAAATCAAATCATTCTACATACCAAACATATGCAAATGTTGGTATGATACAGAAACATAAACCTTTAACAGAATAACTGCTCTCAGAAGCCCCAAAATATCAATGCACGTACAATTAACATTTGCAAGGAAATGCTCTTATATCCTAACATATTTTGCCACAGTCCTAAGTGGAAGAATACAAGATAACTTCTGTTCAGCATTTAGTCACAGTTTACCTTACATTTTCAATGTTGTAATGAAGGACAAAATTGTATTTCTACGTGCAGAGGCCAGAACTATCAACAAGGCCTCCACAACTACGTGCCAAGAGGTCCAAATCTGGTGGTTTGCCTTCAAAATGACTACGCACATGAAACATGAAATCAGCCTTGTTGCCGAAGTCTTGTCGGCATACAAGGCAGAAGTGGTGCTCGCTTGCATATGGCTGGACGTGCGGTGGGAAATACGGTGCTGGAGCCATGCCACTCGGACACCCAGCACCAAGCTGGCTCGGATTTTGCAACGATGGCTGCTGTTGATGCGCTGAACTCATCATCTTCTCTTCCAAGTGTCCTTTAGCATGCGCAGTCCACTCATCACGAGTGCCAAATACGCGGTCACAAAGTTCACAGGTCCAAGTAACACCGGGTGCCTGTGGGGCTTGCACAGAGGTGCTCGCTTCCTTCTCCGCAGTCTTCACATGTTTCACATCTCCTGAACGATCCACTATACCGCGTTTCCCAAGCGGAGCAATGTTTGATGGTGTACGATGTTTCATCTTGTTCATGTGGATAACCAACTTGTCACGGCGTGCAAATGCTTTTGTACATACCTCGCACACATAAGGTTTCTCACCGGTATGGATACGCATGTGAATGACGAGCTTGTCCTTGCGTGCCAACCCTTTCCCACAAACAGTGCATGCAAAACTCTTACCACTACTGCTTTCTCCAGCAGGCTTGCTTGCCCCACCCCGCCCCTTTCCTGCAGTCACAGTTGTTGCTGCTGCAGAAGCTACTGTTGCTACTGCAGGCAGCTTTCTTGGGCCTCCAATCCCACTACTGTGACTGCCTTCACTGTAAGGATGTTCTGGGGCTGGTAACATCCCAGGTCGTGGTGGATTGGTGCTATAATCTGGCGACCTGAATACCAAACACACCTAATAGAGTAAATACTGGGATTCATGATGAAATTATGAACAAATTTTACCACCAAAAATGTTGATCTGGTTCTGAATTTTATCAACCAGTCTTCTCTCCAGAGTCTGTATCTTATATAAAACAATTTTGTCCATTGTTTTATAGGTCACTTAATCTTATGTAAGAACAAAGCCTGTTCCACATCCAAGCCATGCATGCATAGAATGCAGTCCACATGTTGTAAATTGCCAAAGGTACCAAAATTCAAAAGCACACATCACATCACAGTTGGCAATCTTGTTTAAAGTAAAATTAGGCACTTGTTGAAGAGCCAAATACCATTCCTAATCAATAACTTTTCATGCAATGTTGGCACAACTGGAGATTCTAACCACACGAAACACAAGAAATTACAATCAGCAGTATCATGCTGAAAGGAGAACTATACAATCACTGAAAACCAGAGCACTAGCCATGAGCCAATTCTAATGAATAACTGTTTATGTAATGTTGGCAGCATTGTCAATTCCAACCTCAAGAACATGCAGCAAATCACAGTCAACAGTCACATGCTCAAAGCAGAAAAAAGCAAGTTCTAATTAAATGTTGTCACCAATGTCAGTTCCAACTTCAAGACACAATCAAGTCTCATGCTTAGAGGAAAACCAGGCAATTGCTGAAGGTCAGAGTACTGGTCATGAGCCAAATCACGAAATGTTGTCACCACTGTCAATTCTAACCTCAAGAAATACACAGCAAGACAAGCTCAAAGCACAGAACAAGGCATCTATTGAAATATATAATTTCTAAATAACCCAGTGAAGTGTCAAAATGCAATTTTACATTTCCTTTTTCTCTTCTGAGCACTTTGAAGTCCCTGATAACATTATTTGTTCATAATTCTATTGAATTTTTATTGTTACTTACAGTCAAACAGAGTTTTAAAAGTGTTCATTTAAGTATGCATATATTTTCCTTTAGATATTAACATACTGTCAACAAAGCTAATAAACATTACATTATATTCCATTAGAAAACTTTAATTTAATTTTGTCCTTCACAAAATAACATACATATGTCATGACATGTACACATTTCTTTTATAATGAAGAAATTATAGCAACAATGGGACAGAATTCATAAAGTTAGAACAAATGTACATCATTACAGAATATAAAAGTTTGATTTCAAAACCCAGACAGGCAAATAAAAAATAAGTGCTAAGGTTGAAGGCAACTAACTGTGTACTGTTGCAGGAAAAAGCAGATGGGAATAGAGATTTTTCTTAACATTTTAGTTTAGTTTTAATGTACAATATGTGTGTGAACACTTGACATTAAGTCTTGGGTTCCAAAACACATAATCATAAATTGGTGTACTCAAAAGCAGAGCGAAAACTGGAATCATCACAATTCAACAGTCACATCTACATACTGAACCATTCAACTAAAATAATATTCAATACATGCTTAACACATGAATTCTCCTTCTCCCCAAAGAAAAATCTTATAGGTAAGCTGTATCTGTCAAATGGTGGACAATATTCCATCTTGCTACATATAATTCCTGCTAGCTCTATATCATATTTATCAAGACTGACAATAATCTAAAAAATTCATATTCACTTGTATCACATTCCAAAATATACAAATGAAATTACACACAAAACCAATCTTACCCAACAAAAATTAAACATGAAGCACATGGGCAAATACACGAACAATGACAGAAGTAATATTTTTACTCACCATGTCCCCAATGCCCTTAGCACTCTGACTCCATCATCAAAGCCCATTCCATCATCTGGAATAACAAATGTTGACTCTGGATTTGGTTTGCTCCCATAATGGTCTCCCAGTGGCTGAGAGACATGAGGAACTCTTAATGTTGTTGGATAGTCAACTATGCGGCCTCCCATTAGGTTTTGGCAATCGTTGGCGTCCTTATTGTGCCCCCTATCATGTTTCTCATCCTGACCTTTGCACTGCAATGCTGCTGCTTGTGCCATGTGCTGCTGCATGGCTTCTGTATACGCGAATTTTTGAGCATCACTCATCTTATCTAGTTTTACTTCCACCTTCAACATAAAGAGATACACAGAATTCAAACTACAATCAAATCTTAACGCAAACAAAAATGTCCTTCAATGGCGTAACTATGAAGGTCAAAACTCATACGCCGGTTCACATGTCAAAAGTCGATTAATACAAATCCTTACCAGATATATACTCGAAAATGACGTGGTTCCCTTATAAAATAACGTAAGAATTACATTGAAGACTTTATTAACTTGTTTCACACGCAAAGTTGAAACACATTCATTACCAACGCCGAAAATAGACGAAGTACAAAGAAAATTGCAAATGAGGTAGGAACTTCTCTCCTGAGTCGCGGGATCAATACATTTATGTTCGACTGAAGGGCTATCGACTTGTACGTGCTATCAAATCGATTACTGCAATATCAGAGGGACTGTCAAAAATAAATTCACCTTATTGTCACATTAGGATTTTAGGCGTTCTTCATACGCAAGTGTGCCACAAAAAAAATTACAGAACTGTTTTCACGATAGACACATTATTCAGCTGGGTGTCACAGTGGTTTCATCATCAGCCTTATCGATAATACTCGAATAACATATCTAAACACATTAAATTATTTTGGGGGAAGTAAATTTCTATGAACACGAATTAAGCAACGATGGGTACTATAGATTACAGCACTTCAGGAATAATTATAATTATCAAATTTCACTTCCGAGTATCGTTATTAACACTGGTCTCGCGATGTCAAATCGATTGTCATAAACTGCGTCGATTATGTATAAACAACACAAATACACAATGAAAACATACAATTACCTGGGTCCCATTTGTTACATGATTTTTAAGCAGTGTTTCAGAATTTATGCAGTTAAGCCGAAACTCATAAAACATGTCCAGTTTATAAGCACAGCGATGGCAAATTTTCTTTGGCAACGAGTCATCTTTTGAGATCTGAAATGATTACAAAGTTATATTTTTAAAATAAGCACATTTACGATGGCAACAAAAATAAGACAGTAAAAACGTTCTTAAATGGTTGCTAAAAATCATTCCCCCGTTAGCATCACAAAAGCGGTGTCACATTATGGCATATACCACTCACAACAATCGGTAGACACGTCCTTATCTTAAACAGCAACTGTCTTTGTTCTCCTTCTTTATCAAATATGTGCATTCGCATACCACTCTTCACTGTGCACAGTCGACAAACTTCGGTGGTATTGTACTCCTCCGTCATTATGAAAATAAATTAAATTAAATGAAATCAGCAATATTTAGCAGATTTCCGGCAGAAAATATCACGTTTAAAGAAATTCTTAAATGTATTCCTTATGCTGCAGAAACACAAGGCCAATAATTACACATACAATACATTAAGGTTCAATTCATGATTCTCTTGGTTGCCATGTTGGATATTAGAATCCAATAGAAACCACTTCCACTTCCGCCATTGCAGTATAACACCATCTGCTTGAACCAATAGCACTCTACGCTCTTACCGCCACTTTCAATTCATACATGAGGCCAAATTTCGTTTTTTATATATCATTTTCGTCTTGATTGAAATAAAATAAGAAAACAGGGAACTCTTGATATCAGAAAGGTCAACTGCTCCAATTCCGAGTTAACAACAGAAAGATGAAACTTTCATGCTTCTATCTCCTACTCTGAAAGGATATTATACTCAAAATCTCCAACTTCCATAAAATCAAAAGGTTTATTAACCACCACTTGCCACCAATCCTTAAACTGAACCAGATTAATCAAGTCCACACCCTCCCACACAATTTTTAAGACCCATTTTAATACAGTCCTCAGTTTATGTCCAGGTCTTAAGAGTGGCCTTTTCCCTTCAGGTTTTACAACCCAAATTTTGTATGCATTTCTCACCTCTCATGTGTGCTACATGCCCTACATGCTATCATCTTTGATTTGGTCATCCAAATATTTTATGGCAAAGAGAAAACAATGGAGCACCATTAAATAAAAGTTAACTATAAACTAACCATAAAATGTCTAAGGCAAAACAATTAACATGAGAAATAGGAGAGGAATAAACTCACACCATTTCTAATTCTATCATAAGTGTTTTATTGCATATTACAGTATACTTTGTAAAGAGTTTCAGAGTACAGCCAACCTTGCTATTATAACACCAAGAGATGATTACATGTAAAAATTATATATTCTATTAATAATAAAGACAGCTACATGCAAAAACTAGAATAGAAGACTGACTCAAATTTTCATCAAAAGGTCATGATAAAGTCGTGGAGATTCAGAAACTGATGTGTCATGGTTATAATATAATATTCTCCAAGAAAACTTTGTAACTTGGGTCTTATTTTGAACACACATCTATAATTGGTACTACTTAAGGCAATATCTGGACATATTAAATATTTATGTAATCACCTGTAATGGTGTGATACTACTATATTATGTTGTCTCTCAGATCTAATCTGCATGTTCACTTTGCCCTATTAGTAACTGAAATGTGAAATAAAACATGGAATGTGAGAAACTATAAAACTCTATTAAACTGCCCTGTTTAACAAAAACTCTAAAATGCACAGCAACAGTAAATTTGACAGTCAATGATGTATGAGAAGAACAAATATAATTTTCACTGTAGTTAAAAGAATTTTGGAGAATATTATTATGATTATACTCATACATCATTGCCACTTCTCTTCCTTGGGTAACTAAAATATAGGTGTCAAAAAAGTAAAATATAAATGCAAAGCACTCGATGATAAATAAGATAATAAAACTTTTGCCCACATGAAATGCCAGACTGATGAACAGTGTCCATAAACTCTCTCATCTACCATGCACACATATTCTGTCCAATAATTAGAGTAATTTCTTGTTAGTTTAAATCTCGTGTCTTTTTCTAAACTTGAATCTTTTTGACTGAATAAATCTAAAATACAGAACTCAGTATAAAGTATCAGAATCTATTCAATTGAAACTCTATATTATGCAAACTGCTTCTTGTTGTAACAGCTGCAAATAAATTATTGCTACACACAAACTTTCATGAAGTTAGATAATTTATAACTGTATGTGAAATTAAAGAAAATGTTCCTGGTCGACATAACTGTGATGGGGGCAATTTATTTTAATTTCATTGTAAACTAAAATTAGTTCAGAGCATTTATGAAAATGACACAGTTATCAGTACAGAATTACTTTTTCACTATGAATACCCCCCAAAACTAACTTACTAACTAGATCGCTTAGTGAACCCAAAGATTCATCACTGAATTAACTAAAGCCCTCTATTGGTCCCTGTCCTGAGCCAGCAAAATTCAACTGCGTCTTCTCTCCTAGGCCCAAATATCCTCCTCAACACCCTACTCCCAAACACCTGCAATCCATGTTCCTCCATAAGAGTAAAAGACCATGTTTCACACCCAATACCCCAAACACAGTAAATTAAATTGTAGTCTCAAGCACAAGAGATATACATCTTTTTTTAAAAAAAAGTTGAGAATGAACAATTACTATTCATCTTCAGTGATTAATGTGTGCCTATTTATATTAAGTCACACTGACTATAATGTAGCCAAAAAGTTCCCTTAAGCTGAAAATGTGATTTACATTTGGGATGTACGCGGTTTGAATCTTGAATGGGGACTCGTAATCGAGAGGTTTTCATGATTTTCTTCAGGACATCCACTGAATACAGTGACACTATGCTAATGTAGACCATGACCACTTTCTCACTGACCTTTCCCATTCATCAGTTATAACCATTCTTTCACCTTTTCCCACCAAGTAACTCCTGCAATTGACAGAGAATTGTTACAAATCATAAAATCGCATCCAGCGTACCCTACAACCTATTTAATCTACCTACAATGCCATTTACCCAGTTATTTTTTTTTAAACAAAAATTATCCTGCAGTCAAAAACATTTGAAAAACACTACCTTACTTTGTGCATTATATAAATTGGATCCCACATGTAAAATGTGGAAGTTCCAGTTTATTAACGTGTGTGTATGTATCTGAAATTGATCCAGATATACAACTTCTGAGAATAATCACACACCATACTTACGGTAGATAAAATATTCATATATACTTTAAGGAAATGGGAAGTACAAACAAAGCACTAGTGGTTCCTTAAAATACTCACTCGTCTTTCACATAGGAATATACCTGAGTTAATATTCACATCCCATGCCATAATACTTATTAATTTACTTGTACTGTACATAGGAGAAGTAGAATATCACTTGCTATATTTTATATTTTAATTACATTCTAGTATACCATTAATTGTAGTCCAAATATCACAATTCTTTTAAGCACCAAACATGAGACTAACCTCATATTTATATAACTGAACTGACAGCTTAAGTTTCAAAGATATCTTAAGCTGCTGGTGAATGATAACTTCACATTACAGTGAAACATTGCATTAATAAGTAAATGGAAATTAACACTTTCATTTTAGCATTTCTGATCAATTCGCACTTAAATAAATTACAGAAATGTTTACCAACACAAGGAATGCATTTTTAGGTGGACAGTCATGAGAATGGTATATAAATATTTCAGGATAGCCAAAATCACAACACTTTACATTATCAACTCTCTTAAAGAACTGAAGGGCTTCATGCAAAAAGATTGGATCTTTAAAATATATCACACCAGAGGTTACAGAACAGACAACTGTGGATGCAGTGTTTGCACAGACATGCATAAATTAGTTATTTCTGCAAGTTCATAAAACTATAGTAACATCCTTTTTCAGATTTCAGGTTCTCATGGTGGCAAGTCCAAAGATAGCTGTCTTCTAGGTTGACGACAGCCATCGTCAATATCTTTTTGCTCCAAACCCTCCAATTAGGATAGGCCAAGACGCTACAGGCATACCTACAATCTAGTCGCACAATCATGATGAGCAAGCTACATGGAAAAATTTTTACTAAGATACTGTGAAAAGTAAATTCCTCCTTCAATACTGTAGTCATAAAATTAATTAAATCTTAAAATGTAATCAACAATTTCAAAATTGGAAAATCTGAATAACAATCTTGCAATCTTACATACTATCACAGTAACATTCTTATATTTATCAGAAATATAACAGGATACAAACAAGACTTTCACAGTAACTTCAAGATTAGTGCTCACAATAAAAAAACAAACAGAAACCACAAACAAGACTTTCGCAGTAACTTCAAGATTAATGCTCACAATAAAAAAACAAACAGAAACTGGTGGTTACGCAATGGAAAATAAATATGTATATAGTTGGCTTATTATATAAACAAGAAAGAAAAGGCTTCAAGGGGACAAAAAGGAAGTGCCAAAAGAACATTAGGGAACATTCTGGAGAAAATTTCAAGTAATACTTAAATGTATTCATGACAAAAACAGTTTTTGCTACTGAAGCAAGAGGCAAACATCATAGTCAGTAAGTCATGGTGACAGACAGTGCTTTACAACTGTGATATCAAGAAAAGTGTTTGAAGGTTCTGGAAACACAGAGTATGGGCTGGGTGTTTGCTGCATTTTGCTTCAAATAAAATTTATCACCTTCAAAATTATATCTCTACGAAGTTTGTGCAAAACCGAAGATACATTTATCTTAAAAAACACAGTAAAATGTCACTAAAACAGTTATATGAGACACATTTTCTGACACAAATTAAATTGAATTATGATAGCTACAAGAGAATGTGCCCATTACACGTACAAAAAGACAGACACTGAATGGTTTAATACTTACCAAGTTGTTTCTTCATGAAACATCACAAATAATTGCCCTTTGTCTGCAGATTGGCTACTCTGATTGAAATTTGGGTTTTACTCAGTCCCTCCAGACAAATTTCACAAAATAACCTTGAATTAGGCAATGACACTTCCTTCCACATCCCTTCCAATTCATTATATACTAATCATCATATGGTATGACACTATATAATGTATGTTGTCTGAATTGTAGAATTGGTTTTCTTTCTCTAATATTTGTCATTCCATTTCCATAAAACTTTCAAGCTGTAAGGATTCGAAACGTGTCTATTTTTGACTAGACACTTTTGTGTGTGATTTAAATTCAGTGTACCCTGGAGCCATCAGACTTGTTAATTTACATGTTCTCTGCACACCATGTTTTAGCATGTTGAATACAACAAATAACAGTTTCATTTTACTATGCTGTGCTATTAATAGGCTGAATAAATCAAAAAGGATGAGTTCGGCAGGACACACAGCATGTATGCGGGCGTAGAAATGAATACAGTGGAAAACTTCGAGCTTCCTTGGCAGACTAGGAAGAGATGGATGGATAACATTAAAAATGTGGTGTTAAAATGTGAACTGGATTCAACTGGATTTTGTAAACATAGTAATAGTTTCTCAAACAGCAGAATAACTATCAATGTAAATATAAAAATTCTTACAACATGCAGCTGTTATACTGAGTTAAGCATGTCATAAGGTTAAATTACATAGAAGCATTCATTTTCAAATCAGAATCTTTCTGCGAAACCTTTGATGCGGAAGTACCTCAGAACCCACTCACACAAAACCCTTCAGTATGTGTTTTAACTTTCATAGTTTAGGTACAGTAAATTTATATCCCTACATTACAAGGCTGCCAGTTACACTTTAGCTCCACAATTAACAGTTTAACAGTACGCTAATCCAATTCACAATTAGCTAGTTTACGAATTGTGTTGCAAAGATAATAAAAGTTAAACTGACAGTGAATGTAAGAATGGAAGAATGTAAAAATGAGAAAGGAACAACAGAGAACCTTTATATCGTGAGTTCCTTACATTAAGGCACTTCCTCCATCCCTTACAGCCCTTTCCATCATTGCAGTTGATGAATGGAATCTAATAATAATCTTTCTTATCGCATTACAGTACAAACCGATTCCTATCAGGAATGAAAGTGCAGATTTCTTCTACAAGTGTTCAGTCATCCTTCTGCTGCTTCGCTGTTATCTTTCAATGATGTTCCATTTTGTTTGCAGTGTAGAGGCTGTAGTGTTTGATTTATGTCAACAGGTACCTTCTTGTTGGGGTAATTCCAGGGTTGAATATCTGCAGTCCCAAACGCTTGGAAGAAGATATATGTACCACAGCTTACAATTGCTGACAACCAAAATACTTGCTGCCACTGCTCTAAGGTTTGCTGTGAAGGCAGAACATCATACATCCCCATATAAATTACACAAAAGGACTATATGATACTCCAGAAGTATGCGAACTGGATCGCAGAAGAATGAGAAATGTGACATAAAGACACAGGAAGAATAGACACAGAATACAGTAATGAAGATGACTGTCTTCTGGGATGTTGCATCGTGCAGTATGGTAGAAGTCTGCCAATGTCTCAAGGTGCTCTCTGCTTCCATCATCAGGGTGACTAGAAAGCCACACATGAGGATTTAGTCTGAGATATGTCTCAAACATCAGTACACTTCTGACTACAGGGTGCAACATCACAGAATATAGTCATCCTCATTCCCTAAATTTAATTTATTCTTAACTCTATCATGAATGTAATTTTAATTTGTTACCATCATTCCCAAATACTTTAATTTTGCCACATTTTCAACACCTTATTATCTACCTTTATATTATGACATTCTCCTGCAGCCTGGTGATAAGACATGAACACATACTTCATTTTCTCTACATTTACTTCTAAACAAACCTCCTTAGTAGCACCTAAAATGATTTAATTTTTTACCAAGTTTTTCCACAAGAAAGTAATATCACAGTGTGGTCTCTTTGTGGGTTACTTAATAATGATGTTTCAAATACAAGGGTTATTTGGCGTCAAATGATATGAGGAACAAGGAGAACTGAAAAATAAATTATGACAAATATGTCTTCAATCAAGAAACACAGAATAACTTTAAACTTACACTTTCTTGCAGAATGATTCCAGCAGCTATTGGTGACAAGAAACTTGCAGTCATGTGAATTGTCTGAGCAAAAGCTAGGATTGGACCTGTATAAAGATAAAAGTTAATTAAAACATAACAATAATAGTTTACGTGAATATAGTGACCAAATTTTTAAATTAACTACATGTTCTACATGGAAATTATAATAACTATTTTCCTTCAAATTCCTCTACAGCACAATGATTGTACAATTTAGTGTTATACTTATGTGCATAAATACCACTAATATAGAATCAGACTATGATAAAATTGTCAGACATAACTTCAATATTCTGCACTGTCGCCATCTTTATAGCTGTTGACATATAACAATATGTAACATGGAATGTACTGCCTCCATCATCAGGGCAATGATGATGATGATACTGGTGACAGTAATGGTGGTGATGATGATTATGATGGTGGGAATGACGATAATGATGGAGGCAGAAATTGCCTCTAAAATGTTGGTAAATTTCTATAAGACTATATGGTGCAACATTCCAGAAGACAGCTATCTTCATACTCATTGCTATAAGACTTTGAAATCTCATCTAGCATTTGTAGTTACGTTTATCGATGTATAAAATTTCACATGTCCAGCTCCAATAATTTGTAGGTTACTGCTGTAAAAGAGGTAAATGTATATCTTGCATTGCCATGATGTTACTTTACATTCTACAAAAAATTGATCTTAAGAGTTATATATTTCTCAAAGATCTAATATCACATAATGCTTCACAGTCCTACCCTAGAGGCAGTAGCGTTGCTACCACTTCAAATGTTTGCATGGATGCTATCATGGTAGCACTGATGCTAGGGAATTATAAAATATGAATACTGCATTTTATTCATACCAAAAAAATTCAGTTGGTTCAAATTAATGGGAGACAAACACATGATACTAAGGTCTGTATTCCCTTATAAAATACAGAAATAAAGCTAAGAATATTCCTTTAGTAAACCTGTTTCCTTACCAGCAAGATTTGGGGCTATATCAACTACACTGGCCATAGCACCAGCATATGAAGCAGTAATTAGGGTGACAGCAAAAAACCAAGCAATAAGGACCAGTGTGATGTTGCAACCCAAGTATGCAATTGCCAGTACCAAGAGGCCAGGTATAATCTGGGCTGAAACATTAGCAAATGCATTAATTTTAATATGGACTCCAATACCAGCATGTTTCTTCTTTTCGACCGCAGTCTGCTGGACTGTAACGTCATGTTGACTTGCAGACAGATACCAAGGTTTCAAAGAAAACATACTGCCATATTCAGATGGAGGTAAGTTCACCTAAAACACTAGCATCTATCTACAAGTCCACACAGCATTATACCCATAAGACAAACATTACCATCACAGCCATGAGAACCTCAAACCTCATGTTTTTTTAGGATCATTCAGTGATTGTGTTAATTGGATTAGCACATAAAATGATGAAAGAATGATAACAGGTGTTGAGTGACTGAACTGATTGACCCTTTGCATATTTAATTATGTTCTTTCACCTTTTGGCTACAAATGGAATATTGATGCTCAAGATATTGAAATACAAATTTGGATATGTAAAAAAACAGATAGCTTTGGTAACCTATTAGGACACTACAGAATTACAATCCAGAATTAAACAACCTGTTACATCACACAATGATAAAGTTACCTGTACCACACAATAAATAAAGCTGAGTTTATGTTCCAAACTTTAATTTGGTTAAATATATCAATATGTACCAATATAATGTAATATTGTGATATTAAAAAAGATAGTTATATCACTACACAGCACTTACACATGGCAGTAAAGAGCTTGCGGACATTAGTGAGACTGAGTATCTTCTTGTTTACGAGAACATCGGCCAGGTAACAGAACAGCACTGACGAGACATAGCTACACAGGAATGGTGCTCCAGACATTAAGCCATTCTGAAAGGAACTTGTGCATAAGTGCATTGTTTCCTGCAGGCCCTAGTTCTGATAAATATTTTCGTTTTTTTAAATGCAAGTGTTTACAAAATGTTCAAAAGTTTCACAACTTCTTGATACGTCCAAATCATAACCTTTTCTTCACTCATTAGACTACTTGATAGCTACATGATACATTTTTTATAAAACTACAAATAATAAAATCAGGTTGGAATGCCACCTGTCAGAAGACAAGACTAAAACAACCATTAAAGAAACTACTAGACTGTTATAATCTTGGGGCTGAAACATTAAATTTAATGGTGTAAGTTGTGATTAGAAGAACAAATTGGAACAATAACAGACACAAATAAAAATATTAACAATAATTTTTTTCTTGCCAGTGTTGTTGCTCTGGCTCATGATGCCATGTGAAATCAAATGCAGATACCCTCAAGTGCTGACAATGAAGACAGCAGGAAGTTGGTATGTATACGCAAGTCCACAGGCTTCACAGCCCAGGAAAACATCATTAAAATTTTCACTGCTACAAGAGTACACAATTTCCCTTGGAATTAAATGACGAGGAACCTTTAGAGTTCTAAAAAATCATATAGAATTTTTTGGGTATTGAAATATAGGAGGTTGAAATATAAAGAGAAGACAAGAATTGCATTCAGACTTTTGGAGGATAAAGATGGATTTTAGGCTATGTGGATGGGTGGTGGATGAATCTGGTTGAGGACTGCTTTGGTATTAGCAGTGTTGACTTTTTGGGTTCTAATATAAAAAAGTTAGTAATTATTTGAGATTTAAAATACTTTTTGAATACTGAAGCCAAGAACAGTCTTCATGTACATGGGCCCAGGAATGATGAAAGTATAATGAATCCAAATTCGTCCAAATGTTGTGATACTGATGGACCAGGCAGGTAGAGATGTTAAAATGGAATGCCACGGAACCAGCAAACCCTGTAATGAGAGAAGCAAACTCCGGGACGAACAGGGCAAGTAAAACAAAGTTCAAACTAATAAGAAACTAACACATACACAACTAAATCTGAAATAAAAGAAAACTAAAGTAAAAATCTACAAAACTGATTAGGAAGAGATCAAACAGAAGAAAAATAACAGGATAACATGTGACAAAGGAATGGAAAGGGAACAAATAGGTATAATTAGAGAAATACACACACATCTCCATGAAGTTGTCTTACTGACCATGTATCCACATAACAGTGTGTGCAGTAAATAAAGATAAGACTTTTCATATGAACAGTATATATGATATGTAAAATATAAAATAAACTGTTTGTACTACTAAACTGTTGAGAAGGAAAGTCCTTCTGCAAATGAATCATTAGATACATTCAAAAATTTTCATGTTATTTTGAAAGTTATGAAGTTTATGCCATTATTATGTATATGATAAATTAGCCAAGTTGATCAAATTTAAGTTTCTCTCTGAGTAGTGAATAGTTTCTGAAAGCCAACATACAATATACAACTGTTCTAAATAATCACATAAATGTGCAAATAATAATCTCATTAATCCAAGGTCCTACCACCGTTCTGCATAATGAACCAGATAAATCTAATCCACATAATCCCACCCTTTTCCCCCAATATACATTCTAATATTATCCTCCCACCTATGTGTAGATCAGTGTCTTCCCTTCAGGCTTATCCAACCAAATTTTTTTATGCATTTCTCATCTTCCTCATGCTTCACCTTTTTCATCCTCCATTGACTTTAAATTAAAGTTACATAGCATTCAAAATATTATTATTACTTGCTGTGAAAAACAGAAATTTTACTAACCTTTTCACCTACGACTGTATTTCCAACGTTGGTTTCAATGTACCGGCGTTCACTGGCTGAAATGCGAGGATGCTGAGCTGGTGTATCAAATGCGAGTAACCACCATATCAAGCACCACAGAATACCCACACTCCCAGTCACATAGAACACAACTCTCCATCCAAAGTGCGCAATCAGGAACCCACATAGTGGATATGTGAGACCGATCCCAAAACTGAAACCTATAAAACAAACATATTACAAAACTTATACCTCCACTTTCCATATACAGAGACTATGGATGGTCTGTTATTTATTTTTGATTCTGAATCTACTGCTGGCTAAGTTTATTTAGCATCAAATACAACAAAAAAATATTATTATAAACAATAATTTTGGAGGGATATAAGAGAAGGGAATCATGGTATATTTTAAGGTATTATTTCAGCATTTATTTAAAGAGATTAAATAAAATCATATATAATTTCAATCCAGATATCACATCCAAGGTGGATTTCTGACTGGGTACATCCTGAATGTGGGTCATTAGAACAGTCTGATTTAACTGACTGGTATTTTCACATAATTAAATTTATATACTTTCTAAATGAGAAGTTATTATGACATTTGAGTGAGACTGATTAAATACATACAACACAACAAAATAAAGTTTTTCTGGTTTTATTTGTATATTAACTCTGCAAGAAAACAATAAATAAACTTATATAATTTAACTTCACCTTGGAAAGATGACATGAAACGACTCCTTTCAACTGCTGGAATCCAATGCCCAACCATTGCATACATGGCTGGCCATGTTAAACCCTGTAAATTTTTAAAAAACAAAAACAAAAAAAAAACACCATATTAATCACATTGTCATGACCAGCCACTTTCCAATTCTGTGTAAAGATCTCCATTAATATTATTCTTACATTTATGACTAAGTCTTAAACTTGGTCCCTTCCTTTAGGTTTTAAAAATTCAATTTTATAGGCATTTGCTGTTTCACACATCACACTCAACTCACGTCCCTTGATTTGATCCCCCAGATAATAACTGATAAAGTTTCTCTTCCTACAGTTTTCTCCATCCATTTTTTACTTTGTCTTTCTTATATTCAAAATATCTTTCTCTGTACTTTGTTCTTATCCTTAACCTATGGTTCTTGCCTTCAATTCTGGGTTCAAGTTTCATACACACACACACAGAAAAGAACAGGTAAAATTTTCTTCTTCTTCTTCTATGGCTCTCCGGTCCGTATTCGGTCCATGGCCTCCTCAATTCTCCTCTTCATTCGGTCCTCTGTTAGGTCTGTCTGTCTAAGACTTCGATCGAGGTTTCAAAACATCTTCCTTTTTATGGTGCAAGGTTGTTAGCCTTGCGACCAACCCCCAACCTGGAGGACCAGGGTACCTGTCTTAAGTCTGACCTCTCCCCCTCGACCAATCTGGCTAGGGAGGCCCTACCAGTAGCTATGCTATCGCCAGCATAGCTCTTGGGGTCACCAAGGTACTCAAGCCCCATCACCATGACAAGGTGCAGGTATTTAAGTATCAAGTAACAATTTTTAATCATACTGATTACACAGTATTACCAAAACTGTCGGCTCATTGGTTGAGAACTCCAAGTTTAATTAATCTATATTAGCAAAACATTTACGTAACTCACCGATGCAATGCCCTGAATGGAGCGCAGTGCAATAACGGCGCCATAGTGCAAAGGCGCAGCTGAGGGAATAAGCAGCGAGCATATGGCTGTGATGAACTGCGAGAACCCAAACACAGTCTTTGTGCCAAAATACTGCGTCAGTATACCACCAACTACTTGCGAAAGAATGTAGCACCAGTAAAATGACCCCAGAATGGTTGACTGCGTGGTTGCATCCCAATCAAATTCGCCTTCTTCCTACATAAAATTAAAATATATGTGAGTATGGAGTACCAACATGACATGACACAGGGTCAAGGAGGTACAACATGCTGGCACGTAAAATTACAATGTTGTTCTTCCGAGCTGTAATCCCACTGGACTTGTATGTGGGTAAATGCATATGTTTCAGAGGGACATACTGCCTCCATCTTAAGGGCTTAAGCCCAGAAAACCAACATCAATATCATCGCTGCCATAAGAATGTCAAACTTCATTCACTGTTTAAGAAAATAATAGCTCACCAAATTGCTGCTTCAAGGTCATAGAAAAATTGTCATGTTGTGATATGAACAGCACAGCCCAGGTAAATGAAGACAACTCAGAACTCTCAGGATAGCAAAGCTAGCAATGCAGTACTGGTGACTCGGAGGTACGAAGTAAAGGACATTTTATTTTATAACATACTATTGCACTGGATGCACGTAAAAGTAAAGGAGACGGCGTAATAAAGAAGAAGAATACCAGTACTATTTTTTATAACTCACTCACAAAGTAAGAAGCTAACAGTCACGTACAAAGAAATTCATAAGCTATTTATGGAACAAAAAGGTTTATCATACAAACATCTAGACCCCCTATACCGAGAAAGTTGAATCAAATCTAACATAGGATGATTTCTCGTCAAAACAAAACAAAAATTTAATAGTAAAAGTTAGGACACAAAGTTGGTTGAAACAGAGATAAAGTTTTTATTTTGATCCAAGTTCTTAATTTCTGTCAATTCAGATTATGTGGCATTAAGTTACTTTTTGCCAAAAAAATTATAAATTATGCACCTCTTTACTCATCACCAATCTGGAACTTACTGAAATGTTTATTATAAGAGAAAAATGTAATACTGGAAACTATCGTCAAAAAGCTTCATAACCTCATATAGAGACGAAATGTTACAACATACAACCTTAGTTACGTTGTCTGCATCGAGTTCATCTGTCACGTTAGCAGGGTTATAGCAGTACATGGGGGTGCTACTAGCATTTGCTGCATACAGCGAAGGACGTGGCAATCTGGCCATGGCTATCATCGCGATGTTGATATCGGTGCGCATCATGAAACTGACGAGGAATCCGGAGAATGAGAGGAAATACAGCACAGCTCTTGCAGGTACCATGTCTGAAACACAGGTCCCACTTCAAATTCATAAATTTTATAACGCTCCAATGCTTTGGGCTCAAAGGGTTAAGACTGGCTGAACGAGAGAGACAAAAACTTCTTAGCAGAAACATCGTAGCCGCCACGTAGAAGACCTAGAAGATAAAATAATAGTATTCAAATGTAGGATTTCAGCAAGAACCTCCGAAACTACCTGAAGACAGCCATCTTAGTATCAAAATGGTTGTCAGGGAAACAGATTGTGAGGATAGAAGGCAGATGAAACTGGCTCATGATCATGTCTAGTGGCAGGGTTTGATATAAAGGGTGCGGAACCTTCGGGTTGCTATAAGAATATTAATTAGTTGGAACTGACACATGTAGAATTTCATTATTATAAGTAAACAAGGTATCAATATAGACAACGTATTAATATATCAAGAGCATTATAATATGAAAATATTTTCAGTAATTGCTTCTTTCTTGGCCGACTGAAAGTACCTGATACAGTATGTGTGTTGACTAGACGTTTAATTTATTTAGTTCAGTAGGTTATGATTAACAAAGCCTAAGACACTTTTATATTTATTATTCCTTACACAGTAAATCTCAAACCTAATACAGACTATTACGCTTGCTTTATGTTATTTAACCTTGTAAACAAGTCTCAACAAGCCGTACCATTATGCAATACCATGGCATTCCATTCCACACTTTCAATATGTTATGTGACACAAGATGACAACATAAATAAAGTGAAAATGTCTGAAGAAAATAAAGATAACTGGAAGAACATTATGTAAAACAACATGAACAGAGGTTTTATTTGCCCTGAAGAGGGAGACAGCAAGCATATCTGAAACATCTGTAAACTTCTACCAGAGTACATGGCACAACATCCCAGCACACGGTCATCTTCATATTCACTGATGTGAGAAACTGAATCTTAATCTGAATAGTGTAAACAAAGTTAAAAATAAATAAATGAAGAGAGGTTTTAAAAATAATGAATAAACCTGAATTGTTATATGTACCAAAATGAAGAACTCTTTATCTACAGATCAAGCAGTCAAAGAATAATTAAATGTAGTCAGGATTCAAATATTGGAGAGTTCCACCAAACCAAGAGAATGAGAAAAGACACATTTTCTAGAAAATGTTAACTATACGAATTAAAAGGGAGGAACAGAAAATAAAACACACTTTACAGCAAGGAAAGATTATTAACATATTAAAAACTGTACCTCTATATTTTAGTTGGTCTATATTCTACTTAATGAGAAAGCAAAAGATAATTTTAGAGAGTGGATCCACAGAAACAGAAACACTTAGAAATACTGTGCTAGATGGCCACAATCTTGCGACCAAAACAAGTCAGTTATTAGTCAAAATTTGTTACCTGAAGTGTAAGAAGAAAATCCTGTATTTCTAAATGTAGAACATTAACTTCTTTCGATGAAATGAGGACTTCATCTAACGAATACTAGGAATAAAGATGCATGCTCATGTTAACGAGAACAGCTGAGTGAACATATTACACATCCACGACAAGAGTAATACACTCTTAATTAGACTGTAGCACAATTATCTGCATGAAAATAATAATATAAACAAATAGTTCCTTCAGCCATATCTGTCCAGAATTAAGAATCACCAGATAAAGAAAATCTTGCAGCACTCATAATGAGTCCACAGTTTTTTCAGTTCACCGCTAACACGATAAGGGTCAAGGTTATTTGAAAGATGCTAAAACCTTTCATTATTTACGTGCAAAGTTAAAATCCTTATGAACCAGCATAGCTCAGTCAGTATAGTGACTGGCTATGGACATGATGACTGGGGTTCGATCCCTGATGTGGCAGAGGAGTTTTCATCTAGCCTCTGCGTCTAGACAGGTTCTGGGGCCCTCTCAGCCTCCTATCCAATGGGTATCAGGGTTCATACCTGGGGGTAAAGCGCGGGCCCAGGGCGTGATGCTGACCACTCACCCCCATCTAATAATGAGTAGGTGCTATAATTCTCAAAATTTCCAAAAGACTAACCTGACAGAAAAAACTATTTAACAGAATTCTACCAAACAGACGCCTACAATTAGAAACTATGACACTTTAACGGTGCTGCAATAGTTTGAATGTCTTCTACAAAGAAAAGATGACACAAATAAACTAGCATTACTGAACTGTATTATAAATCTCTTTTAAAATAATTTTCTTTCTTTCGTAATTTCTTTGTGATATTTCGCAACTTCTGGTTTGGCTTAATACAAATCCACTGTGGTATTCCTAAGTATATACCTTGGCTTATGTAATTTTCCACTATACCTTGAAAGAAAAGTTTTAAACCCATTCCCTGCCTGCATATGTTAATACGTAATTACCATAATCCTGCAGTGTTAATTAAACATGACGGGAAGTCACAGCTCTTGTCAGCTAATCAAGATTCTGAGCATAAAAGTTTTTGTCATCTGTAACGATTAGTGAAATCTACCAAAGATGTAAGATTTGAGGTTTTCACAGCGGTGAGTATGAAGATTTTTAAGATCCAATCTGTGATACATAATCTGCCTAATAACAAAGACACATGCACAAAGATTTTAATGTACATATCTTGAAATGTTACGCTGCACATTCTTGAAAGCCAAGAAAAGAATATAAACACTCCACTGTAATTTACCAGGAACAAGACAACCGTAAATTTTGTTATGCTTCATATTTCTCCAACACAGAATTTCATTCTTCTGGGTCGGCAATGAAAGGGTTAATTAGTCACTCAACTTCCTACAGAATGCAAGAGCATAAAAGTAACCAAGGCATACAACATATCGGCCAAGAAAACTCACTTTTTCTGTTTGATTCAACTTTATAACCAGGAAGTCTGCAGTTGTGACGTTTGAAACTCTTGAACACTGTCGACTGGAGTGTCTGCTGTGTCCCATCGTTCCTACACCTCTTCTTCCCTTATAATTTGGCTCATGGGCGTCCGCAGGCGGGAGCAAAAGGAGTTCCTTGCCCTCCCCACTGGATTTATGGTCTAGCACTAAATAAAAATGTTCGTTTTTCAGTCGAGCTGAGTTACTGTATTGACTAAGTGAAGCATGGACCATAACATGCCTAGCAGACCAAAACAAAATTTAAAATACAATCACTGATAAATAACACAACTGAATTAATGACCTTCCCCTAGTATTTCTATCTGCGGACGTCCTTGATCTGACATCTAAATTCCCCATTTAGGGATCTACATACCTTGAAGCCTTTGGAATGAACATGTAGAATACATTTTGGGAACTACATCTTCATCCTCCAACCTGAAATAGAATTAAACAGACTTTATATTCGAGAGTTTTGCGCATTACGACGATTTACCCCAAAATCTGATACGCAAACCTGAACTAACGAAACAAAGAAATTTGTCATTTATCTATTTTACAGGTTATGTTTGTACACGAGACAATATGCATGAAATTTAAAGATTCTTACAGAAAAAAAAAGCCTTATGAATTAAATTTGAGCCAAAACAGATGAGGTGGTCTAATCCACGAAGATAAAATAGTCATTGTGATGAACTTAGAAACTAATAAGCTGGGTATTAAACCAGTGAAACAGCTGAAATAAAATTTAAAGAAATTTTTAAGATGTTTATAGTTCACTAGAGATTAATTAGGCGAAATCAATAAAAATGGGAACAGAGAAAGAATGGATAAAAAGAAAACATTTTTGCATGGAATATAAAGTGCAGTTTTGCAGTGGTATGGACACAAAAATTTAAAATGTGGGAAAAAAGATGAAGTATACACAGGCCATAGAAAATTTATAAAGTAATGATAATTAGAAATTTCAGGGAAGAACTGGTATGTTTGAATCATTAAATATAAGAGTACGATAACACCATGACATAATTCCTAAGGTTAAAGCTGATATTAACAACCTTTGAGCTTCCTCCATGTTTTTGTTGTTTGTTATAACAAAAGTTGTAGATTAAACAGAATCTTCAACTGCCTCTAACGAGGAAAAGGTGGTTTTCCTGGGAACGTTGTTTTGTCCCCTGCAAAGAAAGGAAACAACAATCTTAGTAATGTTAATAAACAGATTGTCTCGGAGAGTTAGTTTCCTTCAAA